AAAATTAGGATTCAGAAGTTGAAAGTTAAATCTTCGAGATCATACCTTACTCCATTCCTTCCTGGTAAGAAATCAAAATCAGAGCTTTTTACTAACAAATTCAAATCTGGAGCGGAAATTTTCCCAAAATCAAAAGATGAACGAACATCAAAAAGGTCGAAGCAGAAAAGAAACGACGGCGTTTGGGGAAATATGCATTAGGGCTTCATGGTTTCAAAGCTGTACCAAAAGGCCCATCAGGCCCAAATAAGCTATTTTTAATTTAAAACTTTAAAGAGGTGTGGGATTGATTATTAACGGATACGTGTTTGTTAAACACTGCACCAACGTCATACGTAATCGCCACGTGTGCCTCTTCTAATCAACATTGAATAATTTTTTTGTTTTTGTTTTAAGCAATCTATGCAAATTCGCTTTCTATAAAAGCATATTTCGTGAGCTTCTAAATCTTTCATCACAGAGAAATTTGTCTACAGCTAAAAAAGAAGTGTGTTCAGTTAATTTTAGAACCGAAAGAGGAAAATGGAGTCTTATCAAAACCAGTCCGGAGCGCAGCAGTCTCACCAACAGCTTGATCAATACGGAAATCCAGTTCCGATAGCGACCGGAGCCTATGTAGCTCCGGTCATGGCTGGTCATCACACGGAAGGTGGTGGTTTGAGCGGAATGCTTCATCGTTCTGGAAGTAGCTCCAGCTCTAGCTCGGTACAAACACTTTTTTAGACAAATTAAATCTCTTTTTTACTGTACTTTGTACATCTTTATAATCACACCACTTAAATATTGTTTTTTTATTTGCTAAAAACCAATTAAATATTGTTCTATCCGTTTCATATTATTATTTAAAATTTTGTCAAGGTGTTAAAATGAAAATTATTACACCTTGTTCGATTTGCTCTATAATTTTAATCGTTAGTTTTTTTCATTTACTTCGAACTCTTTTTAGTTTTGGAGAAGGACAGGAAATGTTATTTTTGTCGACAAAGTTAGAAAATGTTGTAAACACATTTTTGTATTTTGAATACAAAACATGTCTTTATGAAATACAAGTTTTTTTTAATAACAAAGCATAAGTCCTTTGGAGGCATATGTTTTAAAATCTTTAGAGACTTGTCTATTGTTTATTTTTGAATAGATCAATTTTTTGCCATTAAGTTTTACTATTTGCAAAGTATATGCATCTTAGTTTTTTGGGGCAATTGGGGTCTACTACAAAAATGCC